AGTAATCTGAAGTCCGCGACTTTAGTACAAGATTGACTGAGTATCCATCTGTAAAAAAATTTGCATCTCCAATTCCAGAAACCGAAGAGAAGGATTTGGATTTATGCTGTTGAAGTTGGTTTGCGAAGCGACTTGTGACGAAGTGAATCTCTGAGCCAGAGTCCAAAAGTGAGCGACAAGGTACGAAAGTTGTGGCAGGATTCTTTACTAAAACGATTGCTGTAGCTAAGAGCACAACATCAGATGGAGATCGGGATGCAGAGATGTCAGGCGGCGTTGGCAGCGTTGCAGTCATGGCATTAGCTTGGACAGAGTTTGGTGTTAATGGTAATTCGTGACCATTAGCTGTTGGTAAACGATTAAAATGTAAGATCGTGTGATGCTTTGAATGACATTTTCAACAAGAACTAGATTTGCAATCTCGCATCTGATGGCTCTTCTTTAAACAGTTGAGACGTAGTGAAAGTTTCTTAACTACTTTCTGGCGATTGTTAGGCGACAGATTTAAAAACCGTTGGCAATTATAAATCAAATGTTCAGCATTTCCACAAAATACACAAACACCTAGTAAGCTATTTGAAGCAACAAAGGATTTTCTTTGATGTGTACTCACGGTTTTTCCGGTTTTACCAAATGTTTCAGCTTGTGTTTGTAATGCATGCTCCACATTCTCGAGAGTACGACATCGATGTTCTAAAAATGCRGCTAATGATTCCCACGATGGTAACTCGTTAATTGACCAACTTTCATCCCATTTTGCTTGAGTCACTTTGTCCAATTTTTGAGTCAATAATTGTACCACTATGCAATCCGCTATCTGCTCTTTGGAACCAAGTGACTGTAACGCACATACATGCGATTTTACCATGGCCGTCAACGCTCGCAGCTTGCCGACGGTACCATCTGCTTTGTCCATCCCGAAAATCTCTCTGATATGTGCCTAAAAAATAAGACGTTTATATCAAATCGTTTAATGAGGAGATCTAATGCGGTTTTATAATTAGCCTCATTTATTTCCAATGATCGTATGGTGTCAAGAGCTGCACCACGCAAGCAGGACCGCAAATGTTGAAGTTTGTCCACACCGCTTAGGTCACTGTCCTTATCGATGACTGATGTGAACATCGAATAGAAATTTGTCCATTCTACGTAGGATCCACTGAATTTAGGCACGTTAATTGTGGCAAACGTGAACGATTAGTATTCACTATAATAGACTGGAATTCATTGCTGTTCGTTTTGAGTGTGGAACAATGTTGAGAAGCGCTACGCTTTCCAATTTCACGTTGTCGAGTAGCCTTCAACTGAACCAAATTCGTATCAAATTGTATAAGTAAATCACGTCCAATAGATTCAAAGTCATGCTCTTCCAAACTAAATCAAACTTCATTAACTAAATCAATTATTGCCGCTAAAGCATATTCGTCCATACTTTGCAACTGCTCGGAGTCCAGATCAGTACTTATGCATTCAAGGCGCTTATACATGGCCTGTGTCCTCAACTTCAAAAATGTCATCCTACGCATTGGTGAATGCTGACTTATGGGACTCTCAGCTGGAGAATCATTGAATGATGGGTTTACCGACATATTAAAAATTTAACCAAATAAAAGTTTAAGAAGGTTAGGTGATCAGCACGGGAACGTTTAGCGGATAACCGTACTGAACCCGATGAACGGTACTTATGATTTTAAATAATGTTAGAAATTTTTTCGCTAAGGTACCCAAATTTACCGTAGTAGCGCTTTCTAGAAACACTCCACTATTTTGCCACAAATCAAATAGATTTTAAACTACGAGTTTATCGAATGTACAAAGTAAAATATGTCCACTAAATTTTACACTAGCACACTGTGCCGCACGAACAAATAGTTTGCTATTTAATGTTAAGTTTAACTATATCACCAATAAACACACACAGCGATCACGTCGGGGTCACCAACATGTTGAGCTACCAAGCTTTTTTGATAGCTTCGAATTGCGATATAAAACAACGACTATATATGTGGGATCCGAACACCGGACTAGAAGTGGTCAGCAATACAACGCTGACAAAAGAACACAATGACACCAACCCTTTAACTGGACGAACTTTTGACGAAACACGAACAAAGAAAAACGAGCCAAAATTCAGTTGAGTTTAAGTTGCCGTGAACTGTTGAATAAGAAAGTCGTGCTGAGCCGTTGTCCACAAGAACGTACATATATAATATAATCTTAAGAAATAAATTTAAGACTTTTTTATAAATAAACACTAGTTAATCGTTTAMATATCGTATTTAATATCTCGACGGGGAGTGTGGGTGGTGGTCCCTATAATAATCACCACATTTACAAAACTATTTATTAATATAAATATATATGTATAATACAACTAATAGAAAGTTACGTGGTTGGTGGTTTACCAAGTGATAAAAGCGAACTAATAACTATGATGCTAGGCTTAGGCAAAGCTAAGCTTAATTGTTCTCACATATATGTGTGTATAAACATATTAAAGGATAAAGGGAAATGAGGAATAAAAATAACAAGTAATGCTGTGGTGGATATGCGCAATAGAGTGACCAGCTAACAATTAGTATTAAATATTAGATATTTACAATGTTTTCTCACCACAGTGGGTTGAATATATGTGTGTGTATAAATTTAGTTAACTTAAGTAAAAATAATAATCTAAGATTAAATCTACTCATTATTGGTAGTTTCATCGTGAAAGGAGCTGCTCCGAACATTCATATTGAATACAAGAAAACGTGGTCAGGGTCCTCTAGTTTAATATATATTTTTTGGTTTCATAAACAGGAAATAGTTTAATAAACAATAAATTATTTACGTAAACAAAATATTCTTTATATTTTTGCAACTCTTCATCTTCGTCCAGTTACAATTAAATTCTTTAAACGCGTATCTGTAATTTATTTTTAATCATATTTCCTGAAAAATATTTCGTAAACAAACTTCTCGAAATACGTAAATGACAAAACAGAACTTGCCACGTCAACTGGTTTTATGTATTTTCTTCAGGTTTACACTTTTGGTCTCAGTTGTCGACTCTTCTCCTTTATTATGTGGTTGAAACTGATACTTAAAATTGAACACCACAATAATTATGGGTTTAGTATACTTATCCTGAAACTTGATCCTATTTATTTATAGAAATGCTTTTAACCAACACAGTAGCCATATTAATACAATAATAATTTTCGAAATTTATTGTCTTTTAATGTAAGAAAACAAATACATAGGTTAATCGTGTTTAGATGATGGTACGATAGACGGCATTAAGGTTAAAAGGAACTAATCTAAATCTAAATTTATTTATTTTTTCCCAATACTTTAATTTGAATATATATATTTAAAAGCTCGATTTTTATTACTACATCCATTTGTTAAGTAATTCTACTTACACTTTTTGTTGCAGTTGTCAAATTTTCCCCACCATTATATGAACGAAACTGGTACTGAAAAATAGTAATATTGTAAGAAGTGCAATAATATTGTACAATAATGTGAAACTAAAGGAGATATATAAATATATTTTATTATAAAATATAGATGTAATAAATGATAATCAGAAGAAATATAAGTTTTATCCGATCTATGGATATGTGTGCAGGTTGTACATATTGTACTACTTTGTAGTATTTTTCGCATTTGTCCATAACCGGGAATGGTCCATCATATGGTGATGAAAATGATTGTTTTACTTTGTGCTTTCGAATAAAAATGTGCGGTAAATTCGCGGGATCCTTTGAAATAAAGATTTTCTCTCGGTTATGACGAGAAGCAGGCGTATGCTTTAGATTTTGAAACGCTTTTCTTAGCGTTTTAATGAGTGCTTCGATTGCTTTACTTGATGGTGTCAAAAACTCACCGGAAGTCTGACTGGCTCATCAAAAACAATTTCTGCTGGTGTGGCTTGGATGTCTTCTTTGAATGCAGCTCGTAGGCCTAAGAGAACTGCAGAGAGTGCATAGTACTAACTATCGTTGTGGCAAAGAAGTAATGATTTGAGTTGTCTGTGAAAGCGTTCGATAACTCCATTTGATTGCGGGTGATAAGTCGTTGTTCGTTGATGTTTGAAACAGAGGAGATCAGCGAGCTTCCTGAAAAGGTCTGACGCGAATTGTCCTCCGAGGTCGAATTGTCCTCGAAGTGGGACTTCAAAGTAGGAAATCCAAGTTTGCATGAGTACATGTGCTACTCGGTCGACTGTGCCATCAATAAATGGTGCAGCTGCTGGATAGCGTGCGAATCGGTCGATTATTGTGAGACATTTGGTGTGTCCTTTTGACAGCGGGAGTGTCATCAAGTCTATGTGAATATTTTCAAATCGACGAGCAGGTGGCTGGAATGTTGCGATGTGAATTGAAATTGTATGACGTGCAAGTTTATTGCCTTGACATTGAATGCATGCTTTTGTCTTGCTGTTGATTTTGCAAGCGGCCCCAACGTCATTGCTGGATATGTGCTGTATATCGGTGGTAAAGTGACCGATATAATCAAGTCTTTTTGCAATGTGTCGCCCCTCAAAAATATGACGAAAATATTTCACTGCTTCGTATACTGCATTGAGTTTTGTGACTAAAGATTGCAAGCGGTTGCCAATGTTTGCCAATGCGTTGCTCAAGCGCAGCGCCAATTCCGCATTCAGATGCGTCTGAAAAGATTACCCAATCGGAATTGTTATTTGAGTGTGCCAAGAATGTTGCGTTGAAGTTTGCAGTTTGAAAATGCGTTTTCTAGCGATGTTGTCCAGTTGATTGGTGTTTTTCCATTCATTTTAGGACCTTCCAGTAGCGCGTTGAGTGGAACGAGTAACTTTGCTGCATTTTTAATAAAGTTGCGGAAAAAGTTGATTGTACCAATGAAGTTGCGTAGTTTGGTGATTGCTGAAGGACGGCAATATATTGTCGATTATTACTTTGACTCGTTCTGGAGGTGGTTTATTCCATGGGCGGAATAATATGCCCTAGGAACTCGATTTGTTTGAGACCTAGTCATGTTTTTGTTGTGCTGATGACTAAGCCATAGTGTCGAAAGCGTTGAAAGACGATACGCAAATTTTGTTTGTGCTCTGCTTCGTTAGCAGATGCGACCAGTAGATCATCGATGTATGCAAAAACGAAAGGTAGATTTCGGGTTAATTCATCGATGAAGCGTTGAAAGGTCTGAGCTACGTTTCGGAGTTCGAAAGTCATAAATGGAAACTTGAAGAGACCAAACGGTGTGATTGCAGCCGTTTTGTGGACGTCTTCTTCAGCGATGGTTGAATAGCAAGATATACTGTGATAATTAGCAGTGAAATCTTCATTGAACTGGGTACCGATCTGGTATGGTACGTTTGTTGAGACGACGTTAATAGCCGCATGGGCGCCATTCGTCACTCTAATTGGGCGCCAGATGTAGGATGGTCTTGCACCACTCAGGTTGATCACCTCTTGAAATTCAGCTTTCGCGATTTTTAGTCGTTTGGGACCTAATCGCCAAGCACTGCTGACTTTAACGCCAGGGGTTGTCTTGACGTGATGTTGCGTTGTATGTGAAATTTGTTTGGGTTCACCATCGGGACGTGTAATCTTAGGATATTCGGCAAGCAGTTGCCAAAACCTTGATGATTGATTGTGCTGTTAGAGTTTGATCGGCTGTACAGTCACGCTTTTAGTTGTACCTGAGGTGCGCGGTCTTGTGGTTTCGTCGATGACTCGTTGGTTTTTGAGATCGACGAGGATGCCATAGTATAAAAGTAGATCGGCGCCAATGATTGGATTGGACACATCTATCTGTCAGTATGAAACGCCACGTTAGCGCTCTGCGAAGGCCGTTGTTTAAAACGATTGTTACGGCACCGTAAGCACTAATGAGTGTTCCGTTAACTGCTATGAGTTGGTACCCGTTCGCCATGTCCGTATTATTTGCTCATCTGTGAGAATAAACTGAAACTTCGGAGCCTGTGTCCACTAGAAATTGTGTGTGTACGTGGCGGTCCGTGATGAAGAGGCGGTACGATGGTGAGAGAGAGGCGCTTTCCACCGCTAACGTCTCTCTGCTGGGTTTCCCGATTGTTGGCAATCCGGTGTGAATTTTTGAGCCAGTTTGCCAAACTTTTTGTTATACCAGCAGGTGTTACTGGTGGACATGGCAGGAGAAACCGATCGGCTTCTGTTGATGCGTTGTGAACGAAACCTTTTTTGTCCAGTGGTTTGATGGGTGTCCAAAAGCCTCTGAAGGCATTTCGTTATGTGAGCGAGTTGCTGCTCTACGGCTCTAGAATTCGAATGGTGAGTCGTTGTAGGCAATGTTGCAGTATATTATGCAGTTGAGAAGGTTGAAGAACGTCCTGTTAACGATCCGCATCTTCGCTTAACGGTTGTAACCAAAGGGCTGGCCTGTCTTGGTTGAAGCTTGGAACACATATTGTCGCAGGGCTGATATTGTTTCCCAGGATCATGGAAGGCTTCCTGAGAAGTGGAGTGTCATCGTCGGCAGACATTTCAGATAATATTTCATTAATGAATATAGAAATAGTTACGAAATGTTGTACAAAACGCTGCGAAATTATGGTTGAGTGGTGTGACTTTAGCTGGTGTCACCTTCAATGGTGTGGCCCGCTATTGGTAACGGACCGCTTACTGTAAATTCCACCGTTGATCCAATTTCACCGCTAAAGTCCACGTCGGGGACACCTATTGTGGAGTACTGATTTTTAGGACACGTCTGGGTGACGTAATAACCAAAATCCAACTGACTTGCTTAGCTGAGAATTTAATGTCTTATATGCTTATTTAGATAACGATGATCAACAAGCATCAGGTGATGCTTCTGTCAATATGTAATGATATTATTAATGTACGTAAGAGAGAAAGCAGTACCGTAACTCATAGGATAACAATGTAAAATAGAATGTAGGATAACTTAACCATTAGTTGCACTAATATAAATGAACTTAGTATTAACTTGTGTGTTAATAAAAATGCGAGAAATTTTTTGCAATTAACTGAAATAATATTTAATAACGAATTCAAAGGTTAAATCAAATGTTAAATAAACCGTTAAATATAATGCTAATAAAGCCTTAATTAAAAAATTTAGTCTCAACTGCACCCACTGAACATTATCGACGATATACTCGTTTTTCCCATTGGTTACTTTGCTAAATAGACTAATTACTGCCGTTTTCCCAATTGGGAATCAATCACATCTAGAACGGCTATTTTGGCGGCAGATCTCTCAAAGAGGTAACAGAAAGTCTTCAGAGTGGCGCTTCTGACCTTTCCATCATGGGTGGGTTACGGAATGCCGTGATGATCCAGGTAAGGTGATATCTTCAGAATATTGCTGGACTTGTCAACTGGCTTTCCGGCTTCTAAAGATGCGATAGAGTCTCCGAAGTTGTCGTGTTGAGCTTTACGAAAATTTTGGTTCTTAACCCACAGTTTGATTATCTCGAATTATGCTTAGCCAGACACGAACACAATACATTGTCATAGCTGTTGCACGAAGTAGACGATTCCAAGTTGAAAATCTCAGTGGTTCTGGTACTACTTGATACTTTTTTGAGGTTGGGTGATGAACGCCAATAAATTGTGGACGCAGTTCTTCAGTTGCAATGCATTGCAATTCGTCAGACATAAGCCACTTGTCAGGCGAGAGGTACAAGAATGATGGCCCTGAAAAGCTACAAATTATTTGTAGCACCGGTGATCGGATCGTAGCCACGCTAATACCGTTCCGGAATATGACCAGTAAACGCATTTATCAATGTGGTTGGAGTGCGATTCGATAGCATGTTTGGCGAGGCGAGCCCCTAGAAGCGGTGATTTCAGTTCTAAACGAGGTATGGATATTGGCTTCAATGGCGCCACCCTTGTTTTGCTTGCGATCATTGTACAGCTAACCGTATCGCCATACGAGTATTGAAAGTAACAAACTGCTGGGTAGCTAGTTTCACTGGTATCAGCGAATGTGTGCAATTCCGTTCGTGGAACTCCGCCAAACAAAATTCCCGTATAGCATATGGGAATTCTTAGACTCTCTACTTTTGGAATTAGTTTGATCGATCTTAGCCGCTTGGCAAATTGGTCATCAGGGATTGGAACATCCCAGTCGCATCCAGCTTTCCATATCTCTTGGCATATATTACGTAAAAACTGATGAGTCCAAGAGGATCGTATATAGTCATGACCAAACTCAAAACCTCGCGCTTTGTAGGCCGCCTGATGAAGAAATGTGCCAGAATGTCTGTACTTAGCGGAAACGCGAAATGCGAAATGGTCGCTGGATGTAATCCACCACATACCTAAAACCTTTTCAGTAGGCAGTTCATGGTCAAGATCGAGAGATAGCTTATCGAGCGGATCCTTATTGAGGTCAAATAATACTCGACTCGAATTGGACAAAAAATTTCTTAGATGAAAGCCTCCAAATGCATGGATATGACATAATAGCTTCTTCTTCGGTGTCCACACTTACCAACATATCGTCTACATAGTGATTTTCGGTAATGCACTTTGAAACAAGAGGAAATTTCTCTTGAAAATCTTTTGCATTCTTATTTTTTACATATTGCGCGCAGCTTGGTGAACATGTAGCCCTAAACGTCAATACTGTCATTCAAATATAGTTGGCTCATTAGCGCTTGGTTCATAGCAAAGAAAACGTAGGAAGTCCCAGACTAATGTAACCTTTCTTGGTTTATTCGGATTGGTAACTGCAAAAATCGGCAAATACCAATATTTTTTTCACGGCGGAGTCTTTTTAATATAATCGCGTATCTTGTGTGAAGAGCTTCAAGTGCGAACGGTGAATTTTCGTAGTTACTCCAAAGCAACCTCATCCTCCTTAGACATTAAGGCAACAGGCTTGGTTGACGCACCTAAGTTGTCGAGGCAAATGTACGCTTTGGTGATTTCAAGCAGATCAATTTGAGCAGAGATCACAGATTTGATAAACGTGGTATATAGAATCGGTGCCGGCTTTATGCATCAATCCTTTCAAGGTACATCCTAATTTGGACTTTCTGCAATTGGCCCCTCTCCTCCCCCATATATGAATTTTTTTGGAGATCCAAAAGCTGCGTTATTTAAGCCTATCCGCAGTTGTGGAGTGGCGTTTAAATAGAAGTGCAATGACAATCCTTTCAAATGTTTAAACTGTAACCGTAGTTTGTTAGCGTCAAAGCGAATGAGTAGGCAACTGGAGTTTCTTGACACAGTGGACATCTTTAAGGGAAAATTGCCTATGCCCATTTAGAGCCGATATAGTCAGGTGGGCTACGACAGACTCGTTCTCGTACCTATGTGTGTCACCAGTCCAAAGTAGGTTGTGGTGTTACTCTTACAGCTGTTTGAAAAGCTCTTCGTCGATTAGTGTAAGAGATGAGCCATCATTTATGAAGGCGTATGTTGATAAATTTTCCTGACCAGAATGTAATGGTAATATTCGAAACAGTGTGCTTTCCCCTGTTGCTATATGCGCATTGATTTTGGCAGAATGCTCTCTGGCTATCATTTTGACATTATTTGACGCTTTGGCAACTTCAGTTTGATTGAATTCCGAGATGTGTAAAAGTGGATGATGATTACATGTGCATCCGTTAATGCCGCAAGGTTTGACCTAATTATTCATCGAATGCCTTTTCAAACATCGACGACATAATTTTAGTTTACGAACAACTTGTCACCTGTGACTTCGTGGCATTACCTCGAAAGAGTCACAATTAAAAACTTCACCAAAACTTCCATCGCAAACGATATATTTTACCGAAAAAAATTATGATTAATTGGCACCTTGAGCTAACTGAAAGAGCCAACCACCGAAGTTTTGTAGATTGCATGCTGTTAGGCTTATGCATTCCCCAATACGCTGGTAAAAGCCCTGTTATTTCGAAACCAGCCGTTGTTCAAATGACCAGTCAGACCTGATACCGACATCGTTGTACAGATATTTTGCACTTGTACAGCAAAATCGACAATAGATTCCAAATGGCTTTCCGATGGTGGCGGTAGTTCATAAATTTGGCGTTGTAGAACACTGATGATCAATTCTGGTCTACCAAATCTCATTTGAAGAATGTCCATAACTTGATTGACGCATGTGGAGTGCAATATCAGATTTTTAACAGCTTTTAGCGTTGAATCTTCCAATGCCTGTCGCAGTCTTAGCAAATTCTCTTCGTCTGTGAATCCGCATACCTCTGTAGTTTGATTGTTAGTGGCATAAAACAACAAGGGTAATTCTTTAACAAGGCTTAGACAAGTTGAGGAACCAAAGGACAAGCTGTTAACGCGGGCAGCTTTCGCAAAAGTTGTATGAGCTGGTTGCGGAAAAACAGTCTCTGGATTGAGTGTTGAATTCTGTCGCAACTGCTGTTCAAGTGACTGTATTCGGTTCAGTAACGATTGAAGAACCGGTGTTTGCATAACAGCTTCACCTTGTTGACCCGTTAACATTCCGGTTGGAATACTGTTAGGTAGTGAAGACCCGCTATTTGTAATATCGTTTAGAACAGGAGCAGTTGCATTAAATGAATTGAATTGAATGAAAATGAAAAATAAATTTAAAGATATGCTTAATGTGGGTGTCGCCACATTTATATACAAGATGGGCTATACAGTAAACATAACTTTTTGAATGTAGCGCCCGTGGTGGCGCATCTACATACACATAGCCCATAACGTCTGCGTTCACCGGACACATTTTTTTAAGAGCAGTAAAATCACAATAATAAAAATAATT